GCACCTTACAATAACCACAACTGCACACACTATAAATTATCACATAAAATAGCATCAAAGTAACGATCATGGAGACTATTCTCCCTGGTAACGATGAAGAACAACGAAGCCAGGCAAACGGGTAAAGGCAAACCGCAAACCTAACCTAACACCTAACATAATACGAATTGAAAACGGCACACGAGAAATAAATAAATTCGGGCTGTTACGCGCGGTCTGCGCAAGTCACGAACATACATTTTTTCTAGACTTGTGTTATAAATATGCTACCACAATTTTTTTTCTGTTTATGTCTGGTTGTACATATAACAAAGGCAAATGAACTAACGCTTGCTATAATGATGGGGCTTGAGAGCAAAATTTAAGTAATGCCGAATGGAAGTTCCATAAGATAAACAAAAGCAAAGGGTTGTTTGTTTGTCGTTGTTACGTTTCCGAGATTGAAAGGGAATGTTTCGAGTAATGTTTCAAACTCTCTTCAATTGGAATGCTTCGGCTATGTTTCACTAAGTAAGTTTTCAAGTGCTACATTTCTGTAATGAAACAGCAACGTTTCTAGTTATTGTTTCAAATGTGTAGTAAAACAGCTCATTTGCAACGTTTCATTTACGTTTCGTGTTTAGTTGTTTAGTGGGCATCGTGCGATATGAATTGTTATAGCTTTGCTATAATAACGCCTGCAACAACATACTCTTCGAATTAATCGATTTTGCAAACAGTAGTTCTGACAAACTGGAAGTGCGTAAATGGAGTGTGGTTAAACAGTTGGCTATGGGGAAATGCACACGAGTTGTTTGGAACACGATACACGGGGTGTGGACATAAACTGAGCACAGTAACCCATGTGGAAATTTACCTTTAGAATGCCAGTACATTCATTGAGCAAAATAGGCTTTTACTTTATTAAGATCTAATTGACGTTTTTTCTTGGTTACTACCGTTATCTTTGCACCTAGTGTGAATTGCATAATTTAAATATTTAATATTTAAAACAAAATTTATTTTAAATAAAATATAAAAGATAAAGGAAACAGGAAACAACTTACCACAGGAATCTTCATTAATGATTTTGAGGGTACTTCCAATCTCCATTTCAATTCAGGTTTATTGTAATAGCACCGTTTTTTTTGTAATAGTATTGAACAAGCTAATTCTGAATCTAAGATTTTACTATTATTCAAAATATATTCTATTGTCGGCTAAAATTGTATAAATGATAAATGTACCACCGACAACAAAATATTCAAATATTATTATTTATTTACCAGCTGTGTGTTGGCTACTTCTTTGCAAAAGTTAGATAGAGTTAGTGTTGATAGCATGACATACATTTTGCAAATTTTTTCTGCAAAGAATAATATTGTTATAAGCCTTTTCTTCATTTGATTTATCAAAAAGTTACACATTCCGCATACTGTTTTATCAATAATTATAAATGATCTGCTCTCCGGATCTGTTATGTTGAAATCGTCCAATATTCCTTTCAATATTTTATTATCCATTAATCTGTATTCATTTAATTTAAAGAGATCAGCAAGTTCTTCCTGAAGATTATCTAAGAACACAATATTAAAATGTAAAATATTTAATATGAAATAGTACAGTGTGTTTATTTAAAAAAATATCCTTACTGTAAATAAAAATTGATACAAAAATTTGGTGTTGTAGGTTGATATTGGTTTCGAGAGGTGAAAGAAAAAACGGTTTTTGTAAATAGTAAAATGACCTGTCCCTGTCACATGTAAAACCGACAAAGTAGGTGCCTTCTGAACCTTGGCAAAGACATCAGTACCTATGTACAGGGTGTCTCAAACTCGATAGTATGGGCGTATTGTGAGGATACAAAAAATTTAAATTAAATTTGGGACACGTGGTGTTAAATGGGATGAGGTAAGCTCCATTTTTAATCGAAAATATTATCTTCGTGATTTGACAGAAACGACTAATGACATCAATTATACTTTTTCCAGAAATGTACCCAATTTTTTTTGCTGTTAAAAAGCTCTCTTTTTTCTAATAAAATAATTAGAGAAATTCTTCTGTATTACTTCCCGTTTAAAAGTTATAAGCAATATCGTCCTAAAGAGTCTCAAAAGAAATACCATCTAAAAATCACATTAGCGGTGTAAGGATCAAGTAGTCGTTGGAAAATAATTAAATATTTGTTGTTTAAAGTGCGTAAATGTCATTAGGAATAAATAAAAGGATTAAAATCGGTAATTCTTTAATACATTTAAAAAAAAAGTGATGATAACAATAACTAAACTTAAAAAATAAGGAAAACAATTTCATACTACATACATATTACAATCTATTCTCTATATGACCTCCTCTCATTTCAAGACACATATCCAATCTTCGCCTGACTTCGTTGTGAGCTGCGTTTATTAATATTTCGCCGTTTAACTCATTACAGGCGTTTGTGATTTCTTCTTTCAAATGATTAATATCTCGTGAAGGTGTTTTGTAAATCTTATTTTTTAAAACCCCCATAAAAAATCGAGGGGTGTTAGATTTGGTGACTTTCCGGGCCACTGAAAAGGTCCATTAAGCACAATCCATTTTTTTGGGAGTGTTATCTAAATATTGCTGCAGAACCCGGGCTTTGTGGGGTGGAGCCCCGTCGTGCTGAAACTATAGGTTTCTCCTTAACTGCAAACGCACATTCTCCAGAAGTGCAGGAAGTTATTGGTTGCAGGAAATTTAGGTAACTCACGCTGTTAAATGTATGTTCATAAAAATAAGAACCAATTAAATGCCTACTGTCGCACCATACATTTACTCCAAAATGGCCTTGATTTTGAACTGGATTTACAATGTGGGGATTTTCAATGAACCAGTAGTGTTCGTTGCGCCTGTTTGGCAAACCATTACTTACTGACAAACCAAACCGACTTTCGTCCATTTAAAGAACGTGCTGAAAAAGGTTCTGATAAACAGTTTCTACATTTACTACAATTTGAGCTATAAAATTAAGATGTCTTCAATGTGACGCTCAGGCAAATATTCCAATTTGTGAATTTTATAGTCATGATACCCTTTGGTCTTTAAAATTCGTTGAAATTTATCCAAATTCAATTCTCGGCTAGCCTGCCGTATATAATTTCGTGGATTTTGTTCGAAACACTATAACAGTCTAGCAATATTAACATTGTTTCTACCCTTCGGTCAATTATTTGATTTTTCCGAAGAGAAAATGCATGTTCATTTCGTCGCAAGGTCGCCTCCAATCTTGTAAAGGTAATCAAGAATGAGGCGCACTGGATACCTTTCTCGATGTAGGTAACTCTACAGCTCTTCTTGAATTTTTTTGTGACTCGCCGTAAATTAGTAACATATCAACTTTTTCTGAATGAGAAAACTTTTCAAACGGGAAGTAATACAGAAATATTTCTCTAATAAAAGTTTATTAGTAAAGAGAGAGCTTTTTAACAGGAAAAAAATTGGGATATTTTTCTGGAAAAAATATAATTGATGACATCATTAGTCGTTTCTGTCAAATCACGAAGATAATACTTTCTATTGAAAATGGAGATTACCTCATCCCAGTTAACACCACGTGTCTCAAATTTTATTTAAATTTTATATATCCTCACAGTAGGTAGGCCCATACTATCGAGTTTGAGACACCTGTACAGTGTGTACGAAATTTGCTGATATAGAATGTAAATAAAACATTTTTCTTTGTTAAGTTGTTCTTAACTCACTTTAATCGGATGAACGGTGAACACCACACCGCCAATGTCTTTTTACATCGGGTGTCGAATGCGGTTAATTCTAAGAAAGTTACGCAAGGGTCTTCTTGGAATTTTATCTCAACAAATATTATATGGACTGTATAAATTGGAAATTAATTACCTACACGAGATGTAATTTCTTTTGTAGAATCGTAGGAGCTACAGTTACAACAAATTATAAAATACATATGCTTTTTATACGAAAAGTATGCACCGGGTGTTACGTGTTTTTGTGAAATTGGAAGCAAAAATACTGGGACACGTCGATTTTGGTTTTAAGGAAACATTTTATGATTTTAAATATTCAAGTCATTTTAGTAATATTTTATATCAAGATTTGTTTTCTATTTTACAGAAAATTCCGCATCAGTCTTGGATTTTAATTTTCTTTTCCTTTAAATTTATCATAGCTGAACTCGTATAATTATATTTGAAAGAGTTAATGTTGAATAATTAAAAAATTAAATAAAAAAATTGCTTTAAAATATGTTTTTATTGTCTAATTGCTAAATGGATTTAAAAAGAAGTAAAAAAATAAAGGGATGTGTTTTCCATTTAAGCCTATTTTCGTTTAACTTTTAATTCCCGGAAATTGAAAAAAAAATACATTTTATTTGTGAGAGTTGAGTGCTACAACGCTATAATAAAGAATACACTTTTGATGTGGATTAAATTTTTCGGTGCCATTATTATCAATTTGATATTAAAAATAGAACATACAGTACTTACACAAATCTTGTTCAAATGGATCTTGCTTGCTGTTAAGTGTTTCATCATTTAGCACTGGATATAACAGTACTATCACGTAAATCAAAATTATTTTCATTTTTCTTTCCATGCCGGGAAGACTTACGCATCTCATAGTTATTGCAAATAAAATTCAATGCCTAAGATTTAAAAAAACGTAAAGTGAAAATTTACATTTTTATTATTTCCTTTATCAGTTTCAATCCACCGAAGCGTTATGATTATTAAATTATTAACAATAGGTGCATACCTACTGTATTATTCTGTGGCAAAAATATTAAAAATACAATTTCCTAAATAATTTTTGTGATTTGTGTTTAATTTTTTTAAGTCAATCGAAAAGCGAATGTGTTCGACTGCAATAATTGCGTAGACACTGGTCGTTGGACTAGCGTGAAATCTAAACTGCAGATCGGCGAAAAAATCGCTGTTGCAAAGAAGGCTTATATTATTTTCCCAAATTATTGAAGAAATAATAGTCAAAAAATAGTAACACATAAAAATTCATTTATATTTTATTATGTACATCCTGCTTTTTCCGAATTAAGGGATACAGTAGTAAAAATTTTACAAATAACTTCATTTTTACACTTTTCATCGCATCCATCCTTCAGAGAAGCATCGCCATCTCGAACATAAAACCTGTAATAATGGATATTGCTTAGGCACATTCATACGTATATACATATGTATATGCAAAGGGTGTCAAAAATAGAGATTCACCATAATACGAGAAAAAGTAATCTAATAACACATCTTTCAAAATTCTTTGGATAAATTAAAAAGTTTTTCTATTTCGTCATAAAATGAAAATATATTACATGTGTAGATTGTAATCGGGAAAGAGAGGAATGAAAAAAAGACAAATATATGTAGGGTGTTGCAAATGGAACATTTTAAAAAGCAAAGGTTTGGTTTATATCTCTCAAATGCAAAAGTCAGTATTTTTTACGCAAATAGTGAAATGTGCGAAATGCACTTTGTTTATGGTCTTGCTAACAGCAGCGCATTAGGGGCCAGGCACCTTATGAAGGACGTTATCCAGATCGCGGAGTTACGCATCACAGTCATTTCATCAGCGTCTTAGTGAAACCAATATTTGTAAAAAATGTACCTCTGAAAAGGGGCACTCTCAAATAGAAGAACAGGTGCGTAATGAAATCGAAGATAGCCCAAACATCAGGAAGATTCGTTTAATATTAGCCACTCAGTAGTTTGAAGTTTACTTAAAAATTCTTTATTATACCACCTCATATGTAGAATGTATCCAGTGATTTTCCACAGTGTAGCTCTGTGACCATGGATGAGAGAAAGCATGGAGTACAATCCTCGATTTTTAAACAAATACTCTTTAATGATGAGATTAACCTCTCTGGAGATAGAGATGCTATAATGAATTTTCATAACAATCACACATGGGGTAATTGTTATGATGGAGTGATTCTAATTGAATTCTTTCTTTCGATCACATTAACTGGAGAAAATTGGCTCATATTTTTTGAAGAGGATTTGCCAATACTGCTGAACAAATCACGATTTTGTTAAGACAACAAATATTGTTTATATACAACGGTGCTCCAGCCCATTTCAGTTTTTTTATTTTATTGATATAATCAGTTACCCCCTTCATCTCCATCAGTGTGTGTAAAGCAATATCTATTCCTCCGTGAGATTATTGCAATCAATAATAAAAAAATCTTAAGAGAAAAAATGTGTATTTGGCACTGCTCTTTTATTACTCTGCAACTTTTTTATTCGTCTTTGGAACCCTGTCCATTAGAATAGTTTTGATTAAAATGACGTTTCCTATATTCTGTTTAAATACTCGTCATCCTACTTTAGAAACATTCTGTGTAAAATCTCCAAAATACGCCTTTAAACATTTAATAGTAATATGTACGTGTGTCCCAGAAGTAACGCAAAAAAATCGTATTTTATTTTGTGTTGCGTTTTCACAAAAACGCTAAAACACGTCAATTAGTAAATAGGAATTGTCATTTTGTCACGTTGCTTAAACCTTTTTTGCGCTATACTTCATAAACCTATGACGTCATCGACATTTTTTTTAAATAGCACTACCTAATTTTTTAATCATAAATGGATAGTCCTTTTGAAGGGAAATATGTCGATATAGGGTTTGGCCTACTTTACTCTGACAGGAGCGAAAAAAAAGCCAATGACTGGAATGGACATGGTTTAAAATAACAACAAAAGTAGGTATCATAAACTGATGCGAGAACAGTGCCACAGCAAAAAATGGAAATTTGTGGATGTTTTGTGTTTTGGTTGATTGTAGCTACATTTTTATGTATTGATATGTTGGCGTTTTCGGCGATACGACGAACGGCAGTGACAGCTAAACATAACATTTTGCCTATCATTTTTTATCACTGTCGTTGGCCTTCCAGATCTAGACAGATCTCTAACATGGCCAGCGTCTTCAAATTTGCGTATTAATCTGCATACTGTAGACGGAGGTATTGGTTGTTCTGGATACTTGGCATTGAATAATTGATATACTTCATCATAACTACGGATCCTATCTGCGTATCCAACCATAATTAGGATTTCAGTTCTTTGTTTCTCATTTAAACACAACAGCATCGTAATGTAAAATTATGGTATTTGTAACTGTCACAATGATATGAGGCACTATTGCATTCGCTAACTGTCGTCTTCAGAACAATGCCTACATAGCCACTGTGATCGGGTGTACCTACCCAATCTACATAAAAACATGTACCAACAATCAACCAAAACACATTTTTTGCTATAGCACTGTTCGCGCATAAGTTTGTGATATCTACTTTTGTTATTAATTCAAACTATGTTCATTCCAATCGTAAACTTTTTTTCGCACATGTCAAATTAAAGTAGGCCAAACATTATATTGACGCATTTCCCTTCAAAAGGGCTATCCATTTATGCTTAAAAAATTAGGTAGTGCTATTTAAAAAAAATGTCGATGACGTCATAGGTTTAACAAACATAGCGCAAAAAAGATTTAACCAATGTGACAAAAGGACAATTCCTATTTACTAATTGACGTGTTTTAGCGTTTTTGTGAAAACTCAACACAAAAGGAATTTTTTTGCGTTACTTCTGGGACGCACTGTATACGATTATTAAATTTGAAAACTTTTTATTTCTCACTGTAATAACCTCTTCTTACCTCCAGTATTGATTAAACGATGCGTTATTTGTTGATACACTTGTTGCTGCTTTGTTAATGTCTTTTGGAGACAGATTATTTAAGCCATATGCATTTTTCATAGAATACAACTTTAACCATCGGGGAGTGCGATTGGGATGTTTGTTGGCTTCCGTTAGATTAAAATAGTAGGTATCAACGTCTAAGACATCCTGAAAATATTATTATTTTTATGTTATTGTAAAAAATTAATTTGGAAGTTAGTCATTTAAAAAATTAAACAGCATTGTTCAAGCCGTTACTTCAAGTTGACTTTTAGTAACATATTTTTTTAGAAAAACTGACAATATCAAAATAAAATTTAAACAAGTTTTGTTATTCTCAAAATGATGACTCTGATTTCAAAAGGTGAAACGACCCTATTATAACTTACACGGTAACACAATATTCCATGTACTACAAGTCTACCACAGATTCCAGAGGTACAATACGATAATTTAACTAAATTTACTTATTTTCAAAGGCCCTTGCGTCGAATTTGGAAAAAACCATTTGTTCTTAGTTTGGGTTTCATTAAAATTGCTGGAGTCACCTTTTTTCAGTACTTATACATGGTGTTTTTAAATGGAACCAGTGAATGTAGAGCCAAAAATAAGAGGATTGAAATAAAAATACCTTATATGAAAGTTGCACCCCTGAGGCGATATATCCTCTTAAGGGATTTGAAATTCACATTTTAATGTTTTTTCTTTAACATGAGAAATGCTAGAGACACGAAACTTGGTATGAGCATCCTAATAAAGAGACAACTTTTCAATATTTGTTCGATCATTGGCGTGTTTTATAAAGGAGTGAAACAGTCAACCCCATTGCAATATTTTATTAGAAATTTTTTACATGAAGAAAATTATTTATTTAAAAATATTTATTGGGAAGACTGATTTATTGCGCAACTTTTTTCCCCTTGTAATTTTTCGATAAAACCGATAGTTTTCTACTAAAAAAATTAGATGCGTCATCGTTCACTAAAGGGGTAATTGCTAAAATTTGTAAAAATGAAGTAGGCGGATGTCATAACAAATAAATTGTTATTTATCACATTAATAAATTGACACTTTCTGTCAATAAGCTGATAATTTAATAATAACATTAAGGATAATTTGCTATTAATTAATGAAAAATGTTTGATAACATATGACTATGGGCCATGAATTAGGTAGTTATTTATCTGAAATAAAATTTAATTCAAACGAAAAACAAGAAATGCAAAATTAAAAATGAATATTCTCGAAATAATTTCCATTTTGCTACAAGCTTAACCTAATACAGCTGTTGAAGTTATAACGCACTCTCTCAAACAGTTCTTGGTTATTGCGAAGGTCATCTGCTGCCTGAAATATTCTTAAGCGTAGTTCTTCTAAGGAGGCAACAGGAGTGGCATAAACAATACTTTTTATGTGTCCCCACAAAAATACATCCATATTGCTCACATTTTGTCGAATATAATAAACTTTTCGGTACAAAGTGGTTCCTTTCCAGCGGACCTAAAGACTGGGCTTGTCACACCAATTCACAAAAAAAATAGTCGATTATGTCTTGATAATTATAGACCTATAACTGTTCAAACTGTTATATGCAAGATTATTGAAAAATGTATTTATAAAAAAATTTTCTCATTCCTAGTGAAGTATAATGTAATAACAGAACATCAACATGGTTTTTTACAGGGAAGATCGACAGAAAGTGGATCTGTCGCTCTCCTTAATTTTATTCATAGCTCACTAGATGCAAGAAAGTATGTAGGTGCACTTTTTTTCGACCTATCTAAGGCATTTGATTCTGTAAATTTAAGTATAATGGTAAATAAATTAAATAATTTGGGATTTCGTGGTAGCTTTTTGAGATGGCTGACTTCTTACTTACAATTTAGGAAAATTATAGTTAAAATGGGTGACCAGAGATCTGGTCCTCAACAAACAGAGCTTGGAGTACCTCAGGGGGCAATTCTTGCACCTCTAATTTTCTTATTATATATAAATGATCTTCCACATTATGTGAGTACAAAACATCTTATTCTATATGCAGATGACACAACTTTAGCAACAGATGCACAGTCTCCAGAAGAGCTAATAAAAAATATGAACCTCCTGTCCAAGGAGTTTTCAACTTGGTGCGAAAGAAACGCTTTAATGGTTAATGCAAACAAAACTGTTTGTATGCATTTTTTCAACAGAACGGAAATTTCAGGCAATATATCAGTCTTAGTTAAAAATATAAATATTCAGTTTTCAAATACCGCCAAATTCCTAGGAGTCTACTTGGATAGTAATATGAGGTGGACTACTCACATAAATCATATATGTAAGAAGTTAAATAGTAGTTTCTATGCAATACTTCAGCTGAAAAATATATTTACCATTGATCAACTAATTAGTGTTTATTATGCTATTGTTTATTCTCATATTTCTTATAATGTTATCTTATGGGGAAGTGCGGGGGATGCTTCCAGAATTTTTATTTCTCAAAAGAGGATAGTTCGTCTAATATTTAACCTTAATGTCAGACAAACATGCAAAGATTATTTTAAACAATTTAATATACTTACTTTTTATTCTATATACATCTACAAATGTATACTATACGCAAAAAGTAATTATAATAGTTTCATGCGTAACCGTGAGTACCATAACTACCGTACAAGAACTGCCGATTCTATACGACCTCTTAAACATTGTACCTCGTTGTTCGAGAAAAGCCCAATATTTAAAGGCATCCAATTCCTTAATCATCTGCCCATCTGCATAAGGCATGAAAATAACATTAATATNCGTCATTTTAATAATTAATAATATTACAGTATTTTTCGTGTAATACCTTAATTTTTTTGCTTCATTAATCATACTGATACTTGTTGCTGGCCTTTTAACAATTACTTCATTATTTCAATAATTAATTAATTTTGGTGTAAAATAAGTTTAAGAATTTAATTTATTTACAAAAATATTTAATAATTATACAACTATGTATAAAATACGTATAAAATTATTACAATGAAAACATATCCTATATTGATAAAATTACTTATCGAATGAAATTCTTCTTTTCTTTGTCGGATTCTCTTTTGATTCATGTTCTTGGTCGTCTTCCATATTTTCGTGAAGTATGTTGAAAGCATTAAGAGAATAATCGTCAATATTTTCACATTGTGACTCAACAACGGTTTTGTCGAGAAGTTTGTCGAAAACATCAAGAGAGTCTTCATCTATTTCGATGTTAGGAGGAGTTTCAAAGTTTTCACATTGTGTTGAGTCACAATGTTTGCAGACACTCGTACATTTGAGGGATTTTTTTTTACAGCCACATACTTTAGTTTTGCAACCACTTGCACAGCTACATGATATTTTTTTTATTATTTCTTCCGGTATCAAGGGTTCTTCAGTATAAACTGGCATTAACATATTATCTGCGACTTTCCACCCCCACTGGGTTACATCGTAGTCATTGCCCAACCATTTTTGCAATTGCAAATAAACTCTGAAGGCATGTTGTCTGGCAGCTCCTTCAGTTGGAGGAAGATTTTCTAATTGAAATGAAGCTCGAGATGTAGATCGTTTAAAACACTCAAAGCGATGTTCGTTAAGCGTACCTTCTTTTTTATTGCAATACAGCAAAGAAATAATTTGGCACATATTCTTAGCAATTTCTTCATGAAGAGCATTATTTTTATAGAAAATATCTATTAATTGAAGGTGATCCGGATTAGAGTTAAACATTTTTAATAATTTATTCTTTCCTTGTTTATACAACGAAGAAACTGTGTCACAGCCCGATACAGCGTGGAGAAAGGCTACATATCTTGATAATTGTGGATATTTAAAGCTGTTATTGGAGTACCATCGATCTACTTCTCGCCCTTTCCCTTTTTTCAAAAAAAAAATGTTCCTTGTACTGGGAATTAACTGTGTTAGCAGTACAATCAAATCTACATCTTCACCAACTATGACAATGTTATTTACTGCAGTCAAATTTGCCGCAGTTTCAATAATTAATAAATCTGCATCTTCTTCTGCTATTTTAGTTTCAAATCCAGCATTTTGTAATACAACAGAGAGTATACTAATAAGCCTTTTCTTATTGTTATTGTTTGATAAAAAATTTATCTGCTTTTCAGTGATTTTTGTATTTTCATCAAAATGAAATTCTCGAGATACATTGTTACGTTGCCTTCGCAATCTTTCCCACGTTTTTAAAGAACTGCTTGTATCCTCGGGATATCCATCAAATACTATTATTGCTTTCTTATATTGATGTACGTATCGTACATATTTTTCAATAATTTCTTTGACAAGTAGGTTGGGTTGCCAAATAACACGATGCAGTAGACTGCCACCGTCTAGTACATAAATGTCATTTGCATTTATTACTGGAGACTGAGAGAAACACTCAAAATTGTCATAAAAACTCGATTTTGCCGTTTTGCGTATTCCATTCTCATCAAACAGAGAAAGTGGGAAGGGCGCGAGTTCATATTGCAGATACTTTTTCATATCTTCTTGATTTTTTAAATTCAAAGAAATTCGTTGGAAAATTAATAGCGGATTTATTGTGACGACGTCGCCTTCAATTTTTATGCTGGATGTCATAGAGCGAAGAGACCGAACTTTTTTTTTTGATGAAGTTTTCATAGTTACAAAAGATTTTCCAATGTGGCTCTGCAATAATTTCATTCCTTCTTCACGCGCGTTGTAACAATTTATGCTTTCATTACCGACTATTCCAGAGTAAATAGACATTACAATGTTTGATTCTACGAATGGATTATACTTTTCGAAAAATTCATTAATTTTCTGCAAATCTGCCGCATCCCTTTTTATCCTTGAAATACGAGTATCTACATGTTGCTCCGAAGTATCGAACGAAACGTTACAAAATTTCTCCATTTCATTACATACATCAGTCAATGCTATGGTGGATAAAATCCACTTTGCAACAACACTATCGGAAATGCCACGCCCGTGGGTCAATCCACCACTAGTTTTCATGGACTTCATCAAAACCTGCTCGATAGTCATATCTGCAAAAATACCAGACCACGGTTTTTCAGACCTCCTGATTGTAAAAAAGCCACACTTTGTAAATTTATCGTATTCAAAAATATCCATTGTTGATTCTAATGCTATCATATCTTGAAGATATATATGACTACATTTAG